ACATCAAAATTAAATCCGCTAGTAGTTGGTTTCGATTTGACCAGCGGGTTCCGAATTGGATCGGCCGAGTTTGCGAACGACTAGGTCAAAGTACCTGTCTGATAACGAGACCCAGTTTGACTTGACAAGTATAAGTTAAATTGGAAACTTAATTAAAAAGACTATTAAAAAAAAAGAAGAGAGAATATACTAGGAGACCTAATACAAAGTTCATCCTTTTCCATTGGATAGTGAAATCCAACAATTTAGAGTATTTCATGAAGTACTGATGTGAAATCATGTTGTTATCTACTGATGTGAAATCAAGTATCTACTACTGAGTCATTGACACATCCAAACAACATGATTTCACATCAGTAGATAACAATGATTATGCCTCCTCGTACAAGAAATAACCGATGCTTTTGTTACTTTTTCACTAAAAAATTATATAAAACTTGAAAAATGGGTAATGGCAGGGTTTTGGACCTGGACTCGATTGGATCTCAGTCCAGTCTGACTCGGGCGGGTGATGGATTTTCAAACACTAATTTTTTTCTAGGAAGTGAATTTCTTGTTTAACTGTTGAGGCTGCATGGCTAGGAAGAACAAAATGGAATGATTGGTATTGCGCCTTCGTGTGACTGGTTCATGCCTCTCACCAACTCCACGGATGATGAAGAAGCTGCATTGAGAGAACTTGACTTTCGGCTTGGCTGGTACGAACCAGTGTGTGTAAGTTCTGGTTTCTGTTTTATTTTTATTTTTAAAAAAATATTATTAAAATGGTGAAATTTGTTGAGTTGGTCAAATCAATCAATTTATCAAAAACAAATACTTAGGTTTTAAAAAGCGTATCCCGATTGAGTTGGATCCAAATTCAAAGATATGACTTTTTATTTAAGTATCTTATTTTGGCCACAATTAATCTTGACCATTTGATGTGAAATTGGGTGGCAGCAGTTATTCCATTGACCAAGCTCAAACGAACTAGATAAACGACCATTGTCTTGGAAGAGCACCTTGAAAGTAAACGAAACTTTCTCTTGCTAAAAAAAGAAATAACCCAAAATCTCTATGGGAACCACTTCGCTACAAGAAATAAGCATTCACTTTGCTACAAGAAACAAACATCTCAATCTTCAACTTCTACTTTGTTGCATGAAACAAGCATCTCAATCTTCAAGAGTCTACAACATGCGTCAATCGCAATGTTTCTCTCTATATGAAACTATCTTCTCTCTAAGAGGAAACCGTGCATCTCATGCATAGGAAGCTTTGTCTCCCTCTCTTTCTAGAGGAAACCAACATTCCCATATAGGTTTCTTGTACTTTCATCCTATATATATAATGTTAGGAATTCATACTATCATCCCATATATATAATGTTAGGAATTCATACTAAATATGAAATTTCATACTGATGTTACACATATCTCAAAAGGCCAAAAAATATATCGAAGAGTCCTAATCCTTTTTGGATTTATATTTATTTTAGGAAACTTATCACTATCAATTTCACATAACAAGAAAATATCCCAATCCCACATAATATGGGATTTCTTTATGTGGGTAATTTTGGATAACATCAAATCCAACAATCTCCACCATGATATCAAAATCACATGCTCTGGTATTGATTGTTGTTACATAAATTTCTTCTTCATTCTTGTTAAAAAACAGTGTTTTTCATCAAATTTATCTACCTCAAATTTTGCATTCGAAACCTTTATTGCCATACCGACAGCCTCAAACCGTGCTCTAATACCACTTGTTAAACTTCAGTAACAAAATATCACCTTCAGCTATGACCTCACAGATAAAATGGTATCTGACATCAATATGTTTCGTCCTAAACAATCAAATTAGGCGCACATCAAAAAATTCACCAAAAAATGTTGTTTCGATGTTGAAAAACCCATAATTTGATCATCTCGACCTCAAGATGAATGGACATAATAAAAAATAGATTTCAAGTCTTGAAAATAGTGTATTTTGTAATATATTATCTAGACTGTCAATTTTCAAGATTTTTAAGTATTCATAGATTTATGCGGTCTGCGCTGTTTTTTAATAAGAAAGTATATGATGAGACTATTTACTTTTGATACAAGATGCTCACAATAAATCTTGATCATTAGATGTGAAATTGGATGGCTGCATTTATTTCATTGACCAAGGTCAAAGATCAAAAGAATTGTTCTCTAACTTTGTAACACACCGAAGCTATCAAATTTCACATCAAAAAGTTGTAAATAATTGTTATATCCATATTCCAAAGGTAAATGGTCTCATTGTATACAATCTTTTTTTTAATCTTTAAATTTTACAATTAGATATAAAAATGAATTTTTTGGCCACCATAAAGGTTTTTGATACTAAATAATATATTTTTACACATTTAAGGGTGCACCTTATTTTGATTGTTTAGGGCCTCAGCCTTATACGAACCGCACCCTTTAACTAGTATTTCCCTCTTTTTGTGGAGAGAGAGAGAGAGAGAGAGAGAGAGAGAGAGATTTTGTCTGCAATAGGAAGGGAAGTGAATTGAATTGATGAGTTCTTTTTTTGGTGGTTGCATAGGATTTTGGATCCTTTGACAAGAGGGGACTATCCACCCATCATGAGAGAATATATAGGAGAGAGATTACCCAGATTCACCAAAGAGGAATCAGAGATTTTGAGAGGGTCCTATGATTTTCTTGGGATCAACTATTACACAGCACAATATGCAGCTCATATTCCTTATGTTGGGCCCTCAGTTCCAAAAAGCCAATCTCAAGATTCTCGTGTCTCCCTCTCTGGTAAAAAATTTATTACCCTGTCTATGGGCATTTTTTATAGAAGCCTTTTCTTTTTCTTTTTTTTTTTTCTTTTTTTTTTTTTTTTTACTATGGTAACGGGTAAAAATGAAATGTTTTACATGATGGCTCGGCCACTCTGACCACTGTGACCAAGGGCCATCACTTAAAATGAAAAGTTTTTGGTGTGTCTGCCAACCCATGTGTCCACCCGACATTTGTAGGTTTTAAGGCCTGATGGATATTCTAAATCACCGCAAAAATTCCATCTCCCCCACAAAATTCAGGATTCTGAGATCCAAAAACAGTGGACCAAGAAGTGAAATGAATGGTCCAAAACAAAAGTACAAAAGTACAAGATTGACGATTTTTTATGAGTTAAGATTCATTTTTAAAATAGATGATTGTGGTGGTTGAGAGTAAGCTATAAAATTTTGGATCCTCAAATGGATTTCCAAAGGTGGAGGCACCAAAATAGGCATGGCCCGGGACAACCTAAATCCTACCTTTCTTAAAATGTCCAAATTTCTTTGTTATGAAAAACATGTTACTTGCATTTCTCACTTAGAGTTTCATCATCATCATTATCATAGCTTTTTCCAACTAATTGGTGTTGGTTTCTCACTTAAAGTTGTATTTTAATATCTCGTGCAACTTTCCCTAATTTATTTTAATTGGCTCTATTATAATTTCTTATCTTCTAAGGAGAAGCATTTCCCTACTGACCATTCTAGTCAATTCCATCAAATAACACATGAAATTTTGAAAACAAATCAGGTTAAACATCTGTGGTTAGAACTTCTTAAAAGAAAAAGGCCAAAGCACTGAAGCCATGGAGAATTCTTCTTGTATGTTTCAGATCAATGTTTAAAACATATCCCTTCCCACTTGGGACTCTTACGAGTCGACTGGATCGGGAGTCTTAAGCAATTTTATGTTGAAAAAACACCAGAATCATCTGACTCTATTTTTTTGTAATTTCTAAGAACCTTTAGTAAAATTTCCGTGGTTTGACTCGGAGACATGCTAGACAGACACAGACTTGGGCACAGAACCCTTGGGACTCAAAGACCAAGTGCAGATTTTTATTAAACACTGTTGCTAACGGTTTGATGCTTTTGCAGTGGTGAGGAATGGAATTCCTATTGGTCCAAAGGTATAGTATCCAACTATTTGGCTTATCTATTTGTTTTATCTTTTTCTTATATTATTTTTTTTTGTAGCTTTTTAAAGTCGAAAAAATAGTTGGGATAAGGCTAAGAATATGATAATGATCTGATGTTTTCTTTGAAGGCGGCTTCTTCTTGGTTGTATGTGTACCCTGAAGGTATTAAAGAGCTCTTGTTGCATGTTAAGAAGAAGTATAATGACCCCATTATTTACATCACAGAGAATGGTATGATACACAATGATGGATTGGTAATCCGGTTCAATTCTTTATTATTTTTATAGCTTTTTGTTGTCAAAGCCTTTATGCAAATCTGATAATGGTATTAGGTTTTGAGAACGTTTTATATTTGAAAATTGGAATTTCTAATGTCAATATTTCATTAGAATCATGTACTAACAAAAAACATATACTGTGAGCATGATAAAATGAAATCTACAATATCGATGAGAATTATATTCACTGATTTTAGGATACAAATTACTTCTCCAACCCTTGATAAGTCACGTATGAACGTATGAGTCTCAAATCCAAGCTTGCTAACAAGATTAGTATAGCGAGAGATATTGCATTTCAAAAGGAGAGAAAGTGAGATTTATTTTTTTAAAACATTAGAGAAAAAAATATATTATTTATCGAGATTGTATATAATGAGACAATTTACTTTTGATATAAGGAAGTCACAATTATTGATAATCATTCAATGTGAAATCTAATAGCTTGGGTGTACCCCAAAATTTGAAAAAAAAAATTTGAACTTTGAGCTTGATCAATAGAATATATGCTGCCACCGAATTTTACATCCAATGGTCGTGCCGCAAAGTGTGACCACTTTGTACCAAAGATAAATAACCTCATTCTATACTTCTTATTTATTAGATATTTTTGGATATGTATAAACATACTTTTGATTAAAGTAAAGTTATGGGCGTGTAGGAGTGGATGAGCATGACATGAAGATGGACCCATTTCTCCAATGTCTAAATGATACAATGAGAGTGGACTACCATCGCCAGCACATTTCTTTTCTCCTCGAGGCATTGAGGTAACATCTCTCTCTCTCTCTCTCGCTCTTCCCACAATAACGATGATAGCCTTACATCCAACTCTCATGGTACCAATAGTACCGTGATGGTTCAACACTTGTACCATCATGGTATTATTAATACCGTGATGGTCTCTATAACGGTTTATAGAATAAAGAGTTGAACCATCACAATACTATTAGTACTATGATGGTGCTAGCCGTTTTCTTCAACTAATTTTACATGACCTATGTACTTCAATAAAAGAAAGGATGTCGTTTCTATAAGGCTCAAGTCCTAAGGAAAAAAAAAAGAAAAGAATAAAGCCTCACTTTGAAACCTCATCCTAAAGATACTTTAGACATGGGAAACCTCTATGATAGCTCTCAAAGCAATTTCCACTACCGATTGTCTAATTTGTAGCTCAAAAAATTGTACAGATCTTGCGGATATGTGAGCACTTATTTTTACGGTGAAATAAGCAATCTAGATAACGTGTTACAATCAACGGTACTTTTAGGGCTCGAAATCCTACTTTTTTTTTCCACAACCATAATGGTCGAGACCGAGATGAATGATTTGAAGGTTTTTCAATGATAAAACCGTAATTTTCAATGGGTTTTGAGGTGAGGCTTTACTTATTTTAATAGGGTTGCAGCCTCTCAAAACAATTTCCTAAAAGAAATATAACTTAAATGATGAAAATTCATTTATATAACAAATAAAATTGGACAAAGAAGAAGAACAAAAGACAATTTTGCAATAGCCAAAAGATATTCTACTCCCTTGGGTAAAACGCCAGCTAGGATTAGTTTTAGAACCGTAGTTTTGGGTATATAACCTCTTTAATACATAGATTAACCTCAATAAAAAGAATTTCCTAATACTTGAAAAAAATAATGTTTCAAGATTGAATAAAAATTGTCTAATTTTTAGAGAGTGAGATCTGAGTACTAGAAAACTCAAATTCTAATTTTCTTTTTTCAAAATAATCATCTAGTGAATCTAAAGGGGTTTACCAAAATTTCAATTTTAAAAATCCTCCCAAGTAGGTCATCTAACCGAGGGTGAAGAAGTAAACTATGCTCCTAAAAGAGCATAGCATACGTGCTCCTTGGGAAATCCATCATTGTCATTTGATGGCCATGCTTGTTTATGTGTACAGGGAAGGAGTAAAGTTGAAGGGTTATTTTATGTGGTCCCTCATGGACAATTTTGAATGGGAAAATGGGTACACTGTTCGCTTTGGTATTTACTATGTTGATTTCATGGACAATGCTAAGAGATACCCCAAAAGCTCTGCCCATTGGATTGCAGGTTTCCTTGGAGGAGGAATACTTAATCCCACCCCCATACTTCAATATAGTAGGCGTGAATTGAAGGATCTTAGTGATCATACTATTTTTTTGTGATCTATATAGAGGATATATTGTTGTTATTTTTGTTGTTGTCATTGTGGTTTTTGTAGTTTGACCTATTTATGTTTGGGTGCGGTTTGTATAGAGTCTTGGCTCTAAACAATCAAATTAGAGCCTATCTTCAAATAATGTTGAGAAATGTAGTTTCATTACTGGAAATCTTTGCGATAGCCTTAAAATATATTTTTATATTTATTTATAAAGTTCAAAGCTTCAAAAATAATGTAGAATGACAGATCTATGAAAACTTGAAAATTGATGGTCCAAATATGCGTTACAAAATACACTATTTCCAAAACTTGAAATCCATTTTTTATCTCATGTCCATGCATCTTGATGTCAAGATGATCAATTTGAAGATATTTGAGTATCAAAACAACCTCTTCTAGTGAATTTTTTTTAGTAGGCTCAAATTTGATTGTTTAGAGCCTTGGCTCTATAAAAACTTTTCCCTTCATGTTTTACCCCTTCGAATAAAAGATAAGCAAAAAAGCTCATATTAAGGTGTCTATCTTGCTTACAACAACTACGGTTACAGTGATCTACAATCTCCATTTTAATTAGATCATGTAGATTTAGTGGTCATAAATCTAAATTGTTCAATTAAAATGGACAATGTATAACACTACTATCTTACTTTTACAAATAAGAGCGATGGATTTTATAAACCGCAGCTAACCATCTACTTAGAAACTTGGACATATACCCATTATGCCAATGCATAAGGTACTCCAATATAATGTGTAAGATTAATTTTTTAATGAGATGGATATGACAAAAGTTTTATATTGGCTACCAATCTAACATAATCTTTCTTGAAAGATAGGCACGGGGCCAACCATGGCGGGGTCTTTTTTCTTTTTTTATTAGCCGATTCCAAATAGGTGAGATGAGGCTCAGATGATGATGATGATGATTATTTTTTAATACTATTTTATTTGTAGGATCAAAACTAATGAGCAATAATTGGTAGCTAGTTTAGCATTTCTATAAACTGCATGATCAGGTAAACGATGATGAGGTCTAGCAAGGCTGGGGCCACATGGATTTGTGAAGATTTAGAACTAGATGGTTCAGGAAAAGTGTTGCAAGAATGACTAGGTTTAAAATCTTTTGTTTTTTTGTGGTTGAAAAAAATGAAAAGTATATCATTTTTATGATGTGGATGGCTTGAAGGGTGCATAACCAAAGTTAGGTATCACCAATAAATATTGAAATTGCCATTTCGTTATAAATTCCAAATTTACCAAAATTAAGCATTTATAACATGTACGAGTACCCTTGTATGGTTCTTGACTGGTAGATGTGTTCACCATGAGTACCCTTGTATGGTTCTTGACTCATAGATGTGTTCACCATGAGTACCCTTGTATGGTTCTTGACTCGTAGATGTGTTCACCATAAGTACCCTTGTATGGTTCTTGACTCGTAGATGTGTTGACCAATAGATGGAAAAGTGCTTTAACTCCATTGTCATTATCCTTGACTTCTTCAATATGAAAATTGTTCTTTGTTTTTTGATGAATTATTTTGAAGTGAGTAAAGAGTTTGTGAGCCCAAGAGCGGATACTGTAGCATAAGCTCCAGGGCCAATATTGTAAAATAGGATTGAGAGTGGCGGGCATATTCTGCCCTACATTTTTTTAGTGTACCCCTATCTTTATATTTTTATATAGAGCACATCGATGAAGCACGTGTGTGCAAAATTTGGGATCTATCATGGTCATATTTTATAGCCGAGGAAATTTTTCATTTCAAATTTGAAAATTTTCAAATAATTAAATAAGTTTGTTCAACGATATTAAGTATTCAGAAAGAGAGTGTGGCAGGAGATATTTAAAGAGATAAGGGGAAAGACGAAAAGAAAGATTGAGCATGTTGATGAATGAGTATACAATCACTTAAGAAAATTAGTGGGAAAAGGAGTATCATAAAAAAGAATTCGAAACTTACATTACTTGCTCACCAAGCATGTTTTGTCCTTTTCTTCAATCTAGAACCACTTGAAATTGAACATAAATAAAGAAATACTTGTTCAGCATGCTTAGTCTCTCTTATTTTTCCCTCCCCATATCTCTTTAAACAAAGATTGTATACAATGAGACCATTTATTTTTGTTATAATGAGACTACAATTACTCATAACCATCTGATAGCTTGAGTGTGTTACAGAGTTCGAGAAATTTGTTTTGAACTTTGAGCTTGATCAATAGAACAAATGCAGTCATCCAATTTTACATCTAATGGTCAAGATTAATTGTGACCATCTTGTACAAAAAATAAATCGTCTCGTTATATACTTTTCCTCTAGTCCCTCCTTAAAAGAACAAACAAATTATGAATTCCTAGACTATTTACTTTTTGGCATTTTATTATCAGTCTCTATCTCTAAGCACAACCGATAAATCCATATATATATTTGCTCTAACTAATTACTGCATTCTCTCTTAAAAGTGTATGGAGAGCAGGACTCTCATAGTTGTATTTCCTAAATTTTCCAAAAGCTTATTTTAAATTGCCATTAATTAATTTTGCAGCAGGTATATTTGCTATACAAACTAAAAATATTGTCATAAGTCAGGTGTTATAAATAAGATTTCTCTAAAGAATAGCGAAACCATCCAATTGCATCATCATTGCATGACTTGATTGAAAATTTCTCAATTAAAAGAAAAGAGCAAAGCGACTTAAAGTTCAAAACAAATTCTCGAACTTTGTGACATACTTAAAGAAATCTAATTTGATATCTAATGACTAAGAGTAATTATAATCTATTTGTACCAAAAATAAATGACCTCATAATATACAATCCTGATATTTTAATCACCATGACACGTAGGGTAATCACAGTGACATCAATAGCCATTCATTTGAGGGGCCTTGGATAGGGTTGGAGAGGTGTCAGTGGCCCTAGATAGGTGGAGAGATGTCAGCTTTGAAGGTAGGTCCCACTCTATGAAAACTTGAAAATCTTGTAAATTGACAATCTAAAAAGGCAATACAAGATGCATTATTTTTAAAACATGAAATTTGTTTTTTCATGTCCATACATCTTGATGTCGAGATGATTAATTTGATGATATTCGAGCATCAAAACAACTTCTTCTAGTGAAAGTTTTGAAGCAAGCTCTAATTTGATTGTTTAGAGCCTAGGCTCTATATAAACGTTTCCCATTTTATAATCATCCTAGGTCGGTCAAGAAAATCGGACGATGGAGATTTGAAAAACCGTTTCAAACATGCATCATCTGGATCTAGAACTATGGTTATTATCGAGATTGGACGGCAGATGGCCCCATGGTGTAGCAAGGATCATACGTCCCTCTATAAATGCAATACCAAAGAGAGAGAAAGAGAGAGCGGGGTTCACTTCGAACTCCAAACAGAGAGAGAGAGAGAGGGGGGGGGTTAACAGTTGGAACTGCGAATAGAGGGAGGACCCTCTAATAAAAAAATGTGGGTTGATGGGTTTCTTTGTATGGCAGTAGTCATTGGATACTCAATGTTTTTGGCCGGAATTTGTGCCGGAAAATCACCGGAGAGATCAGAATTCCCACCGGATTTTTTATTTGGGGTGGGATCTTCAGCTTATCAGGTGGAGGGAGCTTTTCTAGATGGCGGAAAAGGACCGAGCATATGGGATACTTTCACCCATGAATTCCCTGGTATTTTCGCAAGTGTTGTTATTCAACGAGAAAGAGTTACAGGCTTTTCCATTTGAGAATGAATTTGCGTTTAATCTTTTACAGAGAAGATAGCTGATAGGAGCGATGGGGATGTATCAGTGGATTTCTATAAACGTTATAAGGTCTCTTTCTCCCTCCCACACTCTCAACCCTGCAGTTCTAGAGAATTTCAGCCATCGTCGCCTCCTTTTATCTGACCTTTTAGGTTCATGTAATTTAAATGTGTCTGAGGATTGGTAGTCATTTAATTTTAATCCGATATATGACAGTGTTGGCAGCTTGTACTCAGTTGCCCAATCAATCCCAAATAATAATTTTTCCTCTGTTTTATTTATATTTTTCTCGTTTGATATAAGAAGAATCAAATCAGGGAACTTGATCTTTTTCAGGAGGATATAAGGAGGGTTAAAGAGATGGGTTTGGATGTGTACAGGTTCTCTCTCTCCTGGCCTAGGATTCTACCAAGTAAGCCATAACAATTCATGGTTCTTTAGGGGCATAATAATCATCTATGGTAATTATCTATGCTTTTTTCTTGTCATAATTTTGTATTCTTCTAACTAAAAGCTTCATTGAGTAAATGAAAGAATACACCAAAACAAACAAAAAGATAAAAAGTAAAGCTACGTGCATAAGACTAGTACATGTTGATAAGAGTAGTAGATGTGCAAAGGTGTGATCCTGATCTTATTTTTGTTCGGGTCCGAGTCTGTGTCCAAACGTCATGGTCGATCGTGCCTGACTCACTCCAGCTGTGTGCCTACCATCTATTGACCGGTAAGTTAAGTTGTATTCATACTCATCAAGTATTACAAAAATAACTTTTTTTGATAGTATTATTTTTCACTTTTAAATTCCTATAAAAAATAAATAAGGGCTAGTGTCCTACCCATTGGATCTCACACGCGCAGCACTCGCACCCCTTTGTAGGCATGTATAGGGATGAGTCACGCGTAAGGAACACGTGTTTTGTATGCTTTGTATAAATGTCAAAGAATTAGTGTGTTTTTATATTTATATCACTCTTTTTTATACTACATTCTTCAATGAGAGACTAAAATCTACTATTTTTTTTATTTATTTATTTAAAACTTAAAAAAAGAACACATGTCATTTTGAAATAACATAGTATTTTATTATGCTAAAATACTAACAGTAAAGTGGGTCACTTTCTCACTATGGGAAATGAACTTGGAAAGAGAGATCACATTATTATTTTGGAGGCATGTTTCAATATTAATGGAAAGTGGGCGATAGGCGAGCTACTCCTCGAAAGACTCCTTCAAAGATGTTCTACTTTTTCTTTTCCAATTTTGTTTGCTTTTGGAAACTAGTACAAGCATCTGCAAAGTTTTTTAAGATTTCAGTCCTCTCTCTCTCTCTCTCTCTCTCTCTCTCTCTCTCTACTACTACTACTACTACTACTACGTACTACGTACGTACGTACTACGTACGTAACGTACGTAGTTACGTTAGTTA